CGTGCCGCTATTTGTATTCATGTGCAATTTAGCCGCTAAATCCCGCTAAATCTCCGCTATAGCTCCGCTATAGCTACAGTGCCATAAACGTTTTAGCCCGCTATTTAAAAACCTTGATTTTGATATATAATATTTCTATCGTTTCGGTAAAAAAAAAAAATAATGATTTCATATAATCATAATATGGACCACAAACTTTAATAATGACGTCATAGTAATAAACTTCATATGACTAAGAGTATCATAATATAATATAATTCAAATTATTCTCATCTGAAATATTTTGACAAAGTGATATGCTTCTCAATATTACAAATTCGATTGATTGAGAAAAGTATTAAGACAAGTAACTTTGAAATCATTGCAACAACCAAAATAGTTAATGATTTGCAAACAATAGGTTATGTAGTTTGTCAATCTTCTAAATAAATAACACTAAAAAGAGAATGTTCGATTCTGATCAAAATGTTTTTGAATGTTTGAGTAAGTTGTCACTTTTTAATAGGAACATTTACAATATTAATTGTGTATTGTGCTCGAGAATATGCACAATTACTTTAGAGTATGTATTTCATGTAATATGATGATAATAAAAATAGTTTAGCATCTTTTCGAAGAAGTACATGATTTTGAAAAATCAACTTTTATTTAGAAATAAAATTCGTTCTCACCTTATATGATAGATACCAATTTGTCTATATGGGGAGAGAGAAAGAGAAAGAGAGAGAGTAATGTAGTAGTTTATACAATGATAAAAAAAATCACGAATTTCAGTGACACGGTTGGTTATTTCACATAGATAATTATGAAATGTTAGTTGAAATATCTTATAATGATCGTTCAATTATGAAGTTTGACTATATGTTTGGCTAAAGTATTTATAAGTGTTGAATAAAGTAGACGTTTTACTAATTAATTAAGAATAATTTTGCAATACTATTGATGTATTGGACTCCAATGAGTATGAATGTTTCTTATGAGAACTCAAAACTAAAATGAAAAAAACAATGACTCTCGAACATTATAAATAGATAAATAACTCATGCATCTATAATATACATTAGATCCTTATTTATTATTATTATTATTATTATTATTATTATTATTATTATTATTATTATTATTATTATTATTATTATTAAGGACTTATTTTCTTATATATTTTTGTTTGAGTTTGTAACATGTTATTTAAATCCTTTTATGTTACGACATCATTATGTTGTTTTTAACAAAAAATTTATATTAAGAGTTTATTTGTTCTATATTTCATTTTGTTCTTGCAATCATTTATTTAATAAATTAATTGATTTATCTTATCGGCCAAAAATATTTGTCACCACGTGCATTGCACGTGCACTTTACTAGTATAATAAAACGAATATAAAAGTGGGGAGATTCTACGATCCTGTTATGGAATCATTCCGTTGGAGTTTGTAACCGTTAGATCAACTATTTACGACAGTTACATGATGATCTAACGGTTATAAATTCCGACGGAATGATTCCGTAAGGTGATTTGAGCATTTCCCATAAAAATGTGTCTAATTTTTCTTATTTATGCACTTTGATTGTTAATTACCTTTACCTTATTGGGAGATGCTACGGTCCCGTTACGGGACCATTCCGTCGGGGTTTGTAACCGTTAGATCAACTATCCCGACGGTTACATGATAATCCAACGGTTACAAACTCTGACAGAATGGTTCCGTAACGGGACCGTAGCATTTCCCTACCTTATTAGTATATATCACGTACGTACAAAGACATTAATTTTAACAGTCTGCGATCTTCGTACAAATAGACATATTTCAACACAAGATAAAATTGTAGCCTTATTGACATAATTGAGTAAAATTTAAAAAGAAGGTCAAAATAATTTGTGGGAACACCACAGGCCCATTAAATTAAATTACAGTGGCAAAAATAGATTATTATACATTAAATAAAAAGACACATTTTTGGAAGTGATAACAATTATATGGTTGGTTAGAGAGAGAGAGAGAGAGACGGGTCGGGTCCCATTGACGGCTTATCATTAGCTGTATCGAAAGCTAACTCCTCCCTTGTCCCTTTCTATCCGCTTAATTTTGCCCCATTGATCATTTTGTGCATTCACTCTCCACGGGTTTCGTGTTTGTATATAAATAAGCCCACAGTTACATACTCAAATAGCTCACCAATTAGAAAGTCCTCCAATATCTAAGTCCAAAATAAGGGGTAAAGAATGGCGGCCTTGTGGGCTTTCATAGTGGCATTGCTCGTTTCGAATGTGGAGGCCCGACCCGCAACTTTCCTGCAGGATTTCCGTATCACGTGGTCCGACTCTCACATTAGGCAACTCGAAGGCGGGAGAGCCATTCAACTCGTTCTAGACCAGACCTCAGGTTTTTCCATCTAAAACATGAGGATGTTGTAAATAAACTGTTTGTGATGATGAAAATTACATGCTAATTAAATTGTATGCTGAATGATAGGATGTGGATTTGCTTCCAAGTACCGATATCTATTCGGGCGCGTCTGCATGAAGATCAAGCTCGTCCCGGGAGACTCGGCCGGGACGGTCACCGCCTTCTATGTACGTACATTTTCTGTAAGAACTACATTTATCAAGACATGCATGTAAATGTGAAACATGTGTAAACAGATGAACTCAGACACGGACAATGTACGCGACGAGCTGGATTTTGAGTTCTTGGGCAACCGGTCTGGTCAGCCGTACACGGTCCAGACAAACGTGTTCGCCCACGGCAAAGGAGACCGGGAGCAGAGGATCAACCTCTGGTTCGACCCAGCTGCCGACTTCCACACTTACTGCATCCTATGGAACCACCATCACGTCGTGTAAGTTCATCTGATTGTAGATTATTTGACACATCACTGATCGACATGCGTATCTATGGTTAAAAACACTGACAGAACCATACTGTAACGGGACTGTATCATTCTCCATATATTATATATAGTAATTATAATTTGAGTCAATGTTTTTTTTCTTAAAAAAAAAATAAATTTGATTGGAACAGGTTCTACATTGATGAGGTGCCAATAAGGGTGTACAAGAACAACGAGGGGCGTGGGATCCCATTTCCCAAGTTGCAGCCGATGGGGGTGTACTCGACCCTGTGGGAGGCGGACGACTGGGCCACACGAGGTGGACTCGAGAAAATTGACTGGAGTAAAGCCCCATTCTACGCTTACTACAAGGACTTTGACATCGAGGGCTGCCCCGTGCCTGGGCCCGCGGGCTGTGCATCGAGTGGCGGCAACTGGTGGGAGGGGGCAGCCTATGCCCAGCTGAGCCAGGTGGAGGCCCGCAGGTACCGCTGGGTCAGGACCAACCACATGATCTACGACTACTGTACCGACAGGTCTCGCAGCCCGGTCCCGCCTCCCGAGTGTGTGGCTGGGATTTGAACCATGTCTCGCTTCACTCAGTGTGTATGTGTGTGATATAAAAGGAGTATATATGTATATGGATTATGGCCTCCTCTGTTGGGGCGTTTGAGGGGGCAAAATGGGAGTGGCGGGAAAGTGGGGGTGTCGTTGTCTTTGCTTTCCTTTATTTTTTCTTGTGTGTGTGTGTGCAGTACCGTACAGTGTGTGTTCTGTGGATTGGAGCTAATAATGTGTGTGTGGTGTGTGATCCTCAAAAAGATGTGATTCACAATTTGTCTGTACTTTTCTTTTATTTTATTTTATTTTATTTTTTTTATTTTTGAGAAAAAAGGTTATGAAGTGAATTTATTATACAATTTGAAATAATCCATTTATGTTTCGTGGCCTCTCCTCTTAAGAGAATGTGTTTTGTTACTTATAAATAAATAAGTGAATTACGAAATACCGCCCATTTTTATTACCTAATGTTTTTATTAGACCGTTTTCCAACACTCAAAAAAAAAAAATGTGCACGTCGCGACCAACTGATAAAACCGGCCGTGCATGGTTACAGCCGGTATCGTCGGCCGGCTGGTGAGAGATTTTTTTTTTTTCTGTTTAAAAAAAATGTCAAGGGTAAAATTGTTCAAAAAAGGGCGGGCGGTAAGTAGTAATAAGTGAGCGGTAAATAGTAAACACCCATAAATAATGTATGAACGTCGCCAAAAAAAAAAAAGTGCAAATCACTTAGTTACAGTCAGCAGCTCAAAATAGTGCTTCAACAATATTTAGATCATGCTATGATCCTTGATTAGTGACAGGATCTCTTTTATCATAGCTTTTGTTGCTTTTGTTGGCAATAATCGATTCAAGCTCGGGATCTTTTGCCTTGATCGTTTGTCGGTGGCAAGAATGCCATTCTTGCTTTTTATTACCTTAGTTTTTTGGGTTGTTCCTCTTCTTTTAACCGTTTGGTTGCGCAGATAGCTTCCGATTATTGTACATTCAAGAACATATCTCTTGCTACATTGTACATTTACAAGATCTACACAAAATATGCCACTCTGCCAGTTCAACAGAGGATACAAAGTTCTGCCATAAATAAAGATGACCTACACAATTAGTCATTAGACCCCATGCAAAGAACAACTTGAAAGATATGAATTATATGGATATGATCAAAATCTAAAGAGACCCCATGCGAACAATAACTCAGACAAGGGGAGAAGACAACACAGAGCCCACTGGAAACTACATTAACTCAAAGATCAAATCCCCAGCTTCTTCTCATGCAACTAATATGCAACTCCAATTTAATTTTTCTAGCTTTCTTCACGAACGAAAAAAAAAAGAATAGGAAAGGAAAAGAAGGCAGCTCATTACGGATAATTAATTATCAACGGAACCTCAGAAATTCTATTGGGTACCATCTCTTGCAATACGCCTCCATAAACTCCTGAGGGACTGAGGGAGTCCACCATGAATGAAAGTGCAGCAACTTTCAAACCTTTTAGTAGTACACACACATTCCAAAACCGCGTTGTACTATTCACAAAATATCACACACACAACACACACTGACTTGAAGCATAATACTTTGAACCAGAAGGTTAAAATTGAATTAATTCCCCGAAGTAAATCCTGCAGCACAAGGACGAGGGCATCACAAGTTGTTGAAACCTAGCTTTGACATAGCAAAGTAGAGCATCTTGGTAGACTGATCTCATAGGTAGCTCGGGTATGGTGGTTTAGAGGCTCTGAAGCTCGGGGTGGACTATGTTACAAGAACTTATAGTTCGATAATCAGAACACAGTGAGCTCCAGATAGCTTGTAAGATGATTGTCGACCTCTCGAAACGTCTTATCACGACCAGGGGACCTTATTGCTTGGGCCAGCCGGTTAGGATGTAAGGGTTCACGAGTTATAATTTAACTCAACCACTTTTTTTAACTCAATTTTAACTCAACTCCACTATCATCAATATTTTATTATAATTAAATAATATCCATCAATCATTCTTACACAACACGCCTCCTCTATTTCATTGATATTTTTGTTCAATCTTTTGTCAGCCACCGTCTTCCTCAGTTTCATCAATAATGGTAGAGAACTAGAACGAACGACGCCAATTGATAGCTTATTTCTCCCTAGATCGGCAATAGGATGATCTTGAATTGGTTTCCTTCCTTGAAGCGACCTTCGTGGACCGCAGAACACGTCGAGGAAGTTCCTAGAACTTCGACGCTCGTGCTAGTTCTCGATATATGAAAGGGCGCCAATTATATAAATATGAATAAGCATAGAGAAGAAGAAGAACCCACTCTCATACTTGAAAACCTTATATATGGTGTATACTTGGTTGTCTACTGCCCGATTTACCCTTACAACCCAAAATTTGTCCAATCTTGTTGTCCAATTACTCTTGTTGCCCAATGTCTGCCCGATCTTGTTGCCCAAGGTGCCCTTGGTACTCAAGATCTGCTCATTCTTGTTGCCCAAGTACCTTGCTGACCTAGATCTTCCAATCTTGTCGTAAGGTCGGCCCATAGTCTTCCTGAAGAGCTCTCCAGTCCTCCATAACTGCAGTTCCATTATCTAATCTCATGGTCTTGTACATCTTAGGTCGGTAGGGATGATTGGATATAAAAAATTTTTGTTTTGTTTGAATTTTTTGATTTGATTTGGTTAATTTTTAAAAAAAGGTGGTATGGTTAGTTGTTAGTAGGTATATTAAAATAATATTTAAAATAAAATAATTAAAGTTGATTTTATGTAAAAAGTAAGAGAGAGAAGTTGAAGTGATAGTTAGTTTTTTTTTTTTTTTAAAA